ATATATATATATATATATTCATTTGAAAGAAATAAATTATTATATTTTTATTTTTCTTAATTATAATGTAGTAGTTATAAGATTTAATTATATATATATATATAATGAGTTTATTTTAATAAAAGATATTTTTGTAAAAAAATATTTATAAACCCAAGAATATACTATTATACCTAAAGATGAAAATCTTTAATTCTTAAGAATCATATATAAATATTCTCAATAACTTTTATGAGTAACCAAACATATTTTAGTTATTTTCAAGAATCATGATTCTCAAGATTTGCAATTCCAGGAATCAGGATACCTAAGTATGAAAAAAATTCTACCGTATCAAATGCTCGCTTAAAAGTTTCTATTGTATGGCTATAGGGGTTTTGAACACCGCAAAACAATTGTTGATAACATGATTTATGTTTATTTGTGTAATTGTGTTTATAAAATGATTGCTTGTGTGTAATTTGAGTTTCTATTCTATTTTGGTGTTTTAGGGTTCATATATGCCTTAAATCATAAAAATTGTGTAATTTGTATGATTTAAGAGTTGATGTATATAACTTTGATGTTTACAAATATTATAAGCATTTTAGTATGTATCTGGTGTTGAATGAGTGGTATTGAGCAATTGGAGGTCATAACAGAAACCATGGGAAGCCTCCAATTCACACAAATCATATTTCTACATAAGTGCAAACTTCATGATCACGTCAAACATAGAATCTTATGCTAGGTGTAAGAATTCTCAAGAGCTTTATGTTCGCTCAACATCAGGTGCCATTTGACATTGTTTTTATGTAAATTGGTTGCCAGATGCAAAAATCCAGAGAGTTTTTTGTCCTATCAATGTTAGGCATGATAGATGTTGTGTTGGGCGCGATATGTGACAAAATTAACCTTTGTGATATTCATAATAATTTTAACTCTAGATGTTAGCTAACCAATGGTTTTGTAATCACTCAAAATGGATGTTGTGAACTTAAGATATAATCAAATTAGTGAGTAAATGTCAAGTTGTATGCAAAATATCACAATTTAGTAATTTTTAAGTATGATAGATGGTAAAACTAGCACTTGAGATCAACATAAAAGTTGTATATAATTTTCTTAACTTCCTAATGATATAATAATTAATTGGATGTCATAATTATAATTAGGGATATAATGTTTACATCCCATGTAGTCAAATAAGTATTATAATTTATTTAAGTATAAATAATGAGTATGAGTTTAAAATGTGAATATCTAAGTGATATCTTTTGTTATAATCTTGGAAATGAATTGAGTTACTGTTGATGTTTAATAAACAAGTTATAGAAGAATATACGAGATTTTAAGGAGTAAAATATGACTGACAATTGAGAGTGCTAAAGTTATATGAACAAGATGTTGTGTTTGAGTTGTTGTATATGTGAACTATGTGTTCTGGAGTCTAAGCTATGCTTAGTAGGTAGAAATTTCAAGTTTGTGCTTGATTATTTGAGAAGTCTAGATAGAAATCTTGTAGTGTGAAAGTTTAGACAGAGAGATCTAGTAAGGTGAAGTTTAGATAGAGGTCTAGTAGTACGATACACATTTGTGTGTTGTGATGATGTGATTGAGTCCATCCATATCATGTATATTTTGTTTAGGGGTGGTTGTGAGTCTACGTGGGAGAGTCTCTATGATCTTATACATTAGCCTCAAGGGTGTTATGGTTGGAAACCTCTCATCTATGAGTGGGGATGAGGGGAAACCATACGCAACTATAGAACCCCAACTGACTTTTGATATATGTTCTTCCTAGTTGAGAGTGGATTGAGAGGGTCACCTAGTGTGTGGTGATCTAATCCATGTACTCCTATGGTACCTTATACTTACGAGTGCTTTATGCAAAAATAATGGTACCACATGCATATAAAGCTATCAACATGAGTCCACTTATGAGTCAATTATTTTGTGTTGGGGTTGTGTGTGAAATGTTATGATGTTTGTAAGTGTTTTAGATCTACTCGACCTTTTTGTATGTGTTTTTGAACACGTGAGATATATCTCCACTTCTCTTTTTGGTTGTTTGTTGTTTCTTGTGTGGACTAATTGCTAATACAAGTGAGCATGACTTCATTGAGCAATATAAGGATGTATGTGGCAAAATTTAGGCTTCATAGCTTTCACATGGATTTGCTCTGATAAGTTGTGACATCAAGACAATGAATTATTAATTCAGTCTATGTTTTATAGTTTTAGACATATTTTATTGAGTTATTATTTATTTGAGACTAGTCAAGTTAACTTTGTAATTACATTTTAATGTCTCTTTATTTTCAAACCTCATATGAATTGTTTTATTTAGGAAAAAAAAAGAATAGATGTGAACATTTTATCCAAATATCATAAATTTTTATTACTTAATTAACATAAATTAATATTAATTATTTTAAAAATGTTTGGATAGAAATATGTCACAATTGGTTCAAAATAATCCAACAAAGTTCATATTTAAACTAAACTAATTAAATTTGTTTAGATTTTTTGTTATCTAAACCAAATCAATTGAAATTTGATATTGATTGATTCATATATAAGACTCCCACTTTTGAAGTTCAAACAAACCAATTATTTACATATTACTATTTTAATTTTTCTATTGATTAATATAATAAATATTGTGTTTCGCTTTGAAATATTTCTCTATATTTCCATTTTGAACAAATTCAAGGTTTCACAAATAAACCTTCACAATTAAATGAAGCATTTCTCTATATTTTTGTTTTTTTTGACACCAATCAAGCAGTGACGGATCCAGAAAATTTAAGTAGTGGGAGAAATATTTAAAGACATGAATTTGTCAAAATATAAAATAAAATTTCTATAAAAATAAATACATATCATAATTGTTCTCTATGAGTTTTCACAGTTTGAAAACATTGAATGATTTGCTCATTTTCAATACTATCAAAAACCTCTCTCTATATATAAGTAACTAAACAATCATTAAACAATCCCTTCTAATTTTGAAAAAGCACTGTCAAAGCATACATCTATGAAATAATTTTCAAGTTGATTATTTAATGCCAAAAGTTCAACTGAAGAAAATTCAGAAGAATAAAATTGAGCAAAACGAATCAACTTCTCCTTATCAAATGCAGAAAATGAATCTCTTGGATTTAAACATGCTACACAAAGAAACAACTCAATATTTGTTTATGTGAAACAGTTGTTTAATTCTTGAAGTTGTTGATCAATCACTTGAAAAAATAATTCAACTTGAAAATATAATTTTAATTAATGTAATGTTTATAACATACAATGTTTCCTCTAAACATAAAAATAGAATGAGTAAATAAAATTTAAAATACTGAATTTCTCATTAAAAATAAAAAATAATTCAAATAAAGTAATATAAAAATAATAATTTTAAATACACTAACCTCAAAGATCACTTTAAATGTATAGTTTAACTATTAAAATATGAAGGAGTAGAGATGGAAGAAATTTTTTTTCTTCTTCCAATTTCACTCTTCTACACTTTAAAATGTGTTAGAGGTAGATGAGAATCTCAAAATATGAATAAAAATGAAAAAAGTAAAATAAAATAAAAAAAATATAAAATATCCAAAAAGAGGTTAATAATAACGTATAATTTTTTTTTTACTTAAAATACATATATGATTAATTTATAATTTTTTTTATCTTGATTTACAATTTAAATGCATAACTTTTTTTCTTTTGAAACATATAATTTGTTGTTAATTTTTATAATATATTAAAATATATTTTTTAAATATTTCTTCTCACACAAAAATAATTGTAACAAGACTCAAATTCAACTATAATTTTATAACTTTTTAATTTTTAATTTTTATTTTTAAATTTTAAATAAAAATAATATCATATCATATATATTAAAAAGAAAATCTGAAAAGTTAGTGGGGGCAACTGCCCCCACAAACATATATACCTGCAATCAAATCAAGTATAATAAATGAACACTATTAAATGTAATGAAGAAAAATGTCCTATTTTTCCTTATAACTAACTCAAGTCATAATAAAATGTTTAATTATAATTTTGTATGCCACGTAAATCATGTTATAGTCACGTAAATAATGTTATAGACACGTAAATATCCTTTTTACTAATTAAATTATCTTTTTAATTCTTTATAATATCAAATATATAATTTTAATCTTTCATTTTTTTTACAATTTTAATCCTCAATTTTATAACATCTTTAATTTTGATCCTTTTACTAGATGTTTATTTGTTAAAATTATAACATGTTTGTTATAACCTAACATTAGATAGATGATATGATAATTAATATTAAATAATATTTAAGTTAAATTATATTTTTAATTCTTATTTTTATCTCATAAAAATATAAAATAAGATGAAAATACGATAAGAATAAAAATTAACAGTTAAATTCAACCTAAATATTATCAAATATTAATTATAGTATCATTTTTATAATATTAAATCGCAACAAACATTACAATTTTAACAATTAACGGATGAACATGTAACAAAGAGATCAAAATTACATGTCTTATAAAATTAAGAGATAAAAATTATATAATTAAAAATTAAAAAATTAAAATTATGAATTTAATATTATAAAAGACTAATTTAACCTAATTTATATTACATATTTTTATCTTTTATTTTATATTTATTTTTTTAAATAAAATACACATTTGCAAGGAAAATGAAAATCTCTTTTCTTACAAAAATCGGTACCTCTTTTCACAAAAAAGAAACAATATTTTAGTCCAAAGGAACAAAACCTTAATAAAACCAAATGATAAATTTGATGAGATGATTGTAAGGATTATCTAGAAAACAAATATTGATAACGTGGAGGATATAAATTCCGAGGCACTTTCCGTTTTCCTATCAACTTCCTTTAAATATTCAATTTTCAACTCTTCCAACCCAAACAACCACTTCACTTTTCTTTCTCCCTTTCGCTTCCATTCCACCATGAGTCGCGCCGATCAAGGTCTCTTCTCTTCCATCGGAAATTCCTTTTTTCTTTTTTCCTTTCATTTCTTTGTGATCCGTGTAACCATAATCTATGATTTCATGTGTAGTTTCGGTTTTTACGCTGTTTCGTAGTTCTAGTACCATCATATATTATTGCGTGATTTCGAAAATGAAAACGTTGCCGCACTTTATTTCTAATCAGTAATCACCGATTAATGCTTTCATTTGGTTCTCTTGTCGCAGATAATGCGAATAGGAAGATGCCTTCGTATTTTGATTTGCCACCTCTTGATGTTTCTGTGGCATTTCCACAGGCCACTCCAGCCTCCACTTTTCCTCCTTGTGGTAACTTACATTACTTGAAGTTGGCATTTATTTATTTATTTATAATAAGAACTATAAGTTTTCAATCGATCTTTATTTTACTATCACGACAAAACTTTGATACAACAATATAAATACTAGTCTCTGATAAAGATTGGAGTTTTACTTCTGTAATGTGTTGAGTTGACATTTAATGACATCATTTATTACACATATTTCTAATATAAAATTTCAATTTTGATTGAACACTAATATATGTTTTATCCTTGTTGTTATTAACAAGATATGTTTTTGTATGTGTTGGATATTCCTGTGGAGTTCAGTTTCAGATTATTTTCATCTCAACGACTTATTGAAACCGGAGGAGCAGGCAGTTAGGAACAAAGTGAGAGAGTGTATGGAAAAAGAAATTGCTCCCATAATGACCCAGGTATGTTTCTCTTTCTTGCTTATTGCCTTAAAAAAAAGAAGAAAATAAGACTTGTATATAATTTCTTTATGTTTTTAGTGCATGTTTGAATAACCATTCTAAGCGTAGTTTTGGAAAGTGATAGATGTTATATCTTTCATTCTGAATGTACTTTTGGAAGGGTTGCAATGATTATCCAAACATTTACGTAAATTGATGATAATTGTACTTTCAGATGACTAAATTTGATGTTTGCTCTGTTTTTTTTGTTTTTTATTTTAGAATATAGTTTGAAAAGATTCTATAATGAGGTTATCTACTTTTTTTTTTTTTTTTTTTTTTTTTTTTAAAAAATTTTTTTAAAAAATTTTTTATAGGGGTTTTCTTTTTTTTTTTTTTTTTTTTTTTAAAATTCTCCTGACACTCGATCTCATTTTTTTTTTATCAGTACTGGGAGAAGGCTGAATTCCCATTTCAAGTCATCCCAAAGCTTGCTGCCCTGCGTATTGCTGGTGGCACAATTAAGGTTCTCTATTTACATATATTTCCTCATATTTCTTCTTAGACTCTTAAGTTACGTGTAGGACACGGAAAAAGGAGTTCTTAGCTAACCCTGATTGATTCTCAGGGTTATGGTTGTCCTGGTTTTTCCATAACTGGAAATGCTGTTGCTGCAGCAGAAGTTGCTAGAGTTGATGCAAGCTGTTCAACTTTCATTTTGGTCCATTCTTCCTTGGCAATGCTCACTATTGGTAATATTTTTCTTTGTTAATAATAAATCTCTGAATGCTAATCGTTTTGGTAATAGTTATTCAATAATATTCATAGTTCCTGAATTTTTATAACTTTGATTGGCCATCAAGTATAGCATTGTGTGGGTCTGAAGCTCAGAAGCAAAAGTATCTACCTTCTTTGGCTCAATTACAAACTATAGCATGTTGGGTAAGTTACTTTCTTGGATTTGTATCATTTTGCTGAAGTACCACTTTTCAATGAGTTTATTTTCTTTTCATTAGGCTTTGACTGAACCTGAATATGGAAGCGATGCCAGTGCTTTGAAGACAACAGCAACAAAGGTCCGTGCCTTATGCATCTTATCTACCAGTTGCATTTGACTCATTTATCCTTTTAATCAGACATATTTCACTGTGCTCAATTGTTCCAATGTTCAATAATGTATTCCTGCTTTGCATTGAAAATATCAGGTTGATGGTGGTTGGATCATTGAGGGCCAAAAGCGGTGGATAGGAAACAGTACATTTGCTGATTTGTTGGTTATCTTTGCAAGGAATACCACAACTAATCAAATAAATGGGTAAGCGATATGTGTTCTTAGTCTTGTCATTGTTAAAATCCTTATATCTATAATATATGCCTATAAATGAACTAAAAGCATTCCGTCTCGTCTAAAGGCCATGGAGATCCAAACATCCATGAAAATTCATGGACTGTCTTATACTCTTTCCTTGCACCCTAAAAGAAAATAGAAAAGAGGTAATGAATGCAAATATTAACATCAATAACACCTTATGAAAATGAAGAATATAGGCTAAGAAACATTATAATAAGATATTTAAAATTCCAGATTATTTTCCATGGGCATTTTGTCTCATGCTTTATGTTTTCTTGCTGCTCGTGTCCTGTTTCACAAGTACTCTCTTTTATTTACATTATTTCGGTACCTATTATTTCAGATATATTGTCAAAAAGGATGCGCCTGGTTTAACAGTCACAAAAATAGAGAATAAAATTGGACTTAGGATCGTTCAAAATGGAGACATAGTTTTGAGGAAAGTTTTTGTCCCTGATGATGACAGAATAGAAGGAGTCAATTCTTTTCAAGACACAAACAAGGTAAAGTTAGTATTGTATTCATGGCTGTTATTTCAATAATGTGATTTCATCATTTCAATGATAAAATAAATGATGGTACAAGTCTTTCTGTTTATATAACTTTTATTACCTGATAAAGTCGTAGAGCATTTAGCAGTCTTGGTTCCTGTGCCTTTGTTGGATTCTGCATGTCTAGGTTGTGAACAAGATCAGCATTTGTCTGGTTCTACGACTACCCATTTGTGGCCAGTGCATTAGAAAGCAAATGTAGTTCCATTCTATTGAATATGCTGCTTAATGCAAGTTACTTTTACCTGATTTTCCTTTAGGAGCACATTTTTTTGGTAAACATTGTCATATTTTCTTTTGAAAACAATTACAGTCTGATTTTCTTTTTCCATCTCCTTGTATTAGTTTATTATTCTCTACTCCCCCAAATTCTGGCTCCAAATTAAATAATTGTAGAATATATGCATGGTTAAGTTTTGACACGTATATTGGACTGGTCAGACACATAAATTAACTCTGTTGTCGTAATTTTGTATTTTATGCGTATTAGTTTACATGTTGCTTATTGTTTTGGCTATTTCAAAACAGGTACTTGCTGTTTCGCGTGTAATGGTTGCTTGGCAACCTATTGGTATATCAATGGGCATCTATGATATGTGTCATAGGTATTTTTTCAATATCCTGCTAATATACTTCAACAAAAGCTTTCAGTGCAAATCATTCTGAATTGTGTGATTAAAAGGTATCTAAAGGAGAGGAAACAATTTGGAGCACCATTAGCAGCTTTCCAAATCAGTCAACAGAAACTTGTTCAAATGCTCAGTAACGTTCAAGCAATGATTCTTGTTGGTTGGCGCCTGTGCAAGTTGTATGAGAGTGGCAAACTGACTCCAGGTCGTGCTAGCTTGGGGAAGGTAATTCCTCACCAACTATTCACAAAATAAAAGAAAATCTCACCAAGTAATAAAACCATCATGTGGACTAGTTTGTTTTTTTGGTACAATTATGTGGTCTACGTTGTTTTTGTTATTAATTGTGATTGGTAATTGATAGTAAATTGTCAATCATTTTCAGTCTTGGATCACCTTGAGGGCAAGAGAAACAGCTGCCTTGGGGCGAGAGTTGCTTGGTGGCAATGGAATTTTGTCTGATTTTCTAGTGGCGAAGGTTCTCACGCCTGATTCCTTTTTTTTTAAATTTATTTTGTTGAACCTCCAATTGGATATAGATTAAAATGGGTTAATTTTAGAATTGATTTTTACCACATAATATATTTCCAAATCCCTCACCAAAAAAGGAAAAAAAAATTAAATCAAGGCCCAGCATGAAATCTAATACAATAATTGTGGATGTTGGATGGAAATGGAAATGCAAGGGCAAATTATTCTTCATTTATTTTTTGGTACGATACAAATACCAAGGTTTAAATCATGCCTCAAGCAAATGGCCGCCCCTGTCCACAAAAAGTCATGACTTAATGCAAACTGCCTTACAATATCACAACATTTTGTACAAAGTATTAAAGTCCTTCACACCATAAATAAAAAGCTTGCAGAAAATAGTTATTTCTAGACATCCTATTATTAGCACTATACTAATTGAGCTTAGTTTGGATCATTATGCTTTCTCACACGTTTTATGCTTTTCTTTTCTAATTTTGCAGGCATTCTGTGACTTAGAACCTATCTATACCTACGAAGGCACGTATGACATCAACACCTTGGTTACAGGCAGGGAAGTTACTGGTTTTGCCAGCTTTAAACCAGTTGCTCAAAGAAGTAGATTGTGAAAGTGTAAAATGTGTCCCTCTATATATAGACTATCAGATCGACTCCATTGGTTTGTGTTTATAATTAATTAACAATCCAGAAGCATTCAATAATTATACAAATGTTTGTGTAGACAACAACGCAGTAAAATGAAAAATAATGATCTTGAGATATTTTTCCAGTCCACATACGCTCTTTTTCTTTTGTAGGGGAGATTGCTATTGTTATGCGTAATAGGCTGTTGGATCAGCTGTTCTCCACTTTGGATAACATAGATTGCTATTGACACTGCTGCTTTACCCTTTGTTTGTGTTTGGTGCGAGTGAGAAAAAAGTTAAGTTATTTTACGTTGTTTGTTTAAGGAGAGGCTTAGAGGAGAAAAAAAATCGTATACAATGTTACTCACTTTTAAAAGAAATATCTTATAATATGAGAAGAAAAGGAAGAAAAAACTTAAAAATATAAGACCTATACAAAATTACTATTTTAATCATATTACTATTTTTCTAGTTATTTTATGGGTTATGGGTCAAGAACAAATTTGTCTTTTAAAAAAAAGGTTATTCTTTTTTTTTTCTTCTTTTTAATATAGAAGAAGGGATCGAAAATAAAATTCAATTTAGATTTCTCTATCACTTTTCTTTTACTTTTTTCAATCCAAAAAATCTTAAATATCCAGTATTTTTTAGTGTGCTTGCAATCCAATTTTTTATTTTTATTTTTAAATATCTACTTATCTGGTTATCCAAAGCAACATTAAGTCATTTTCCTGCTCTTGCTGTGTGAATGAACCGTGTGCATTGAGGGAAGGAACCAAAAGGCCCCGTAGTGAGAAACCTACTTTGATGCAATGTCGAAGTGCATGCGTGCGATATTGAAAAGACAAGGATCCACATCTTATACATCCAAGTTCTTAACACAAAAACATGTCTTAATATCACAGAAGAAAAATACATTATTCGTAGGCATCTACTAGGGTAAATACAGCAACCAATTGAATTCTGGGGTAGCTGCTCGAGGGAAACCCTGGAGTGCTTGCCTCTTTCTCAGTGGTTCTGATCTACTACTATGATACCTTAACCACTAGATAAGTCATGCATTGCATGGCCTTATTTTATTCATCACTGTTCCATGCTCACCACAGAAACTTATTAGGTACAGAAAAACAGTACTTGGGACACACAACAACAACAACAACAACGACCTCGCCATCAAATGCTGAACATGCACACTGCCCAATGCGCATCATCCATGCTAAACGGCTAAGGCCTGTGTATCCCACAACTTACAGAAAAAGACAGAAACATAAACCAACTTACACATAAAGCTTACAACTCCCATGATTGATTTGATTTCACACTTTGCCTGCATCCTGGGCATCCTTGTCCATGCCAAAAGTCCTGACCCTGATCTGAAACTGAGCCACACCGACCAAGAAAGCGAGAATCTGAGGAGGTGTCAGTATCTGCACAACCTTCAAAGCTGTGTTGGTCCTCAAAGCATCTGCACTTGCCACCATCTTCTCCAGCTTTTCTTTGTAACTGCTTGGAACTGTTCCATCCGCTGCTCTGAAGTGGAAGGAGTTGGTGACACACATCCTGCCATGGCTCCTGACCATCTCCAGGAGCGGTGGAGCTCCCCAACCCTCATGAAGCTTGGCCAAGTCATCATTGATACCTCTCTCCTTCACCTTGGTTACTTGCTTGAGATAAGTCAGCCTTCCCTTTTGCGTTTCTGACAAGTCCGGCACAGCACTGTTCACCAACTGAAAGGACATTCCAGGCTTGAACCCCCCCACCCAGTAGAAGCCTTTTTCCAGTGAACTGAACCATGGTGGGGAGAAAACAAGGATAATATCCTGTTGGGCAATCTTTGATTTCTCTTCAAAGTATTGCCCGTAGTGATTGAGGACCCTGTTGATCAACTGCTTTATCTCATCCTCTTGCAGCTCATGATAGTGTCGTTGAGCTGTTATAAGCTCATCAAGGTAGTCTCTTTGTCTCTCCATCCACCCTTGGAGAAATGCCTCAAATAAAGCAATGTCTGATGCATCCATCTATGTATTCAGGGTTGAGTGATACAAAGAGAGAGATGGAGGGTGGAATGCAGAATATGGCTTCTTGTGGTGTTTATATAATGTGCTTTGAAGGAGTTTTTGGGAAAGCGTGGTTCTTGCAATTGGTTGTGGGAAATTGTTGGCTTGCTTAGAGTAAAAGTAGTGCTGGCATGGTGCTTGGAAGGGAAGCCTGATGCTAAAAACAGAGTCATTTGTAGCCAAAGAGAGTGAGTGGTGTTCAGTTAGGCTTAGACGGTAGAAATAGCGGTGTGGAGACTGTTTGCGGTGCGATTTGTCGTTACTTGCATGGTTTTGGAGGCAGGTGTTAATGCTAAAAATTGTGGTGATAATGGAGGGAAGAGGGTTGAGGATTTTGATGAGTTGTGGGGTTGGTTATTCATGTGAAGGTGATCAATTATGGTGTATTGGTATTTGGGATTTGAGTTTTGGATTCATACTTGGTGTGGTAGCAATCGGTTGACACGGTGATACATGCAAAGGCCATGCAACCTTAATGTGCCGTCATAGTATACTATTGTTTCGTGCCAAGTAAGACAGAGAAGTGCAGAAATGAAGCCAAGTAAGATAGAGAAGTGACACAGATTTTCGATCTGCCATGTCGTGTGGTGAACAATGCATCCTATGCTACTATACCAGTATACCACTAACCTAGTCAGATATTTTCCTTATGAAAAATGCATCACGAGACTATTATAATGGCAAAATATTACAGTAGTATTCTATAAATAAAAAAAAGGATCCAAGATTAGGATGAAAAGGTAATATCTTAAAATGTAATGTCATGCATGTTGTTAGTGCACATCAATAATAAATACTATGTCTTTGATGATATGTAATACCATTTGTTGTTACTGTTATTCATAATCTGACGTTCAGATAAAGTTACATTACTAGCTATTTTTATTTCCTTGACGGTGGTGAGACATGAAAATAGTTACTAGAGTTTTTGAAAAGTAAATTCTATAATGGTAAAACCTCTGCATGTTTGCCAACTCTACAGGCACCCTTTAATTAGAAGGACCATCTAATCAATTCAGATTCTCTGCAGAAAGTCTGTGGTGTACTTTTCTCAAGGGCTATGCATTGATATAGGCGGTGTCCCCTCATTTTCTCTTTCTCATTGTAGTTAACGCCTAGTTATTATTACCATTTTAAAAGAATCCAACAACTCCCACATCGATACGTTGCTTTTGCAGCAGAACGGTAAAAAAAACTTAACATTTCAAGACTTGGAGTGCTTCTGCGGTGAAGTGGGGTTTCAAGTTGGTGCTGTAGAGTTTCAGGTCATTGCTTTTTTAATTTATTTTCTGTTCACAAAATTAATTTCATTTCTTAAGAATCTAAATTTCGAAACTCTATTTGTACCTAATTCAGTTGATTAACTAATTTTAGAGGTTTAATTCTGCAACAAATAGTTCACTACAGAACGTGGCACAAATAAAATTTCAAAAGTTTAATTCTGTAATATATACAAATAAACTTTTGAAAGCTTAATTCGATCAGAATGTGCAACATATAAACTTTCAAAAAATTAATTTCGAAATACGCAAATAGACTTTTGATGTTTAATTTTTGAAACCAAATATTTACATGCTTTCAGAATTTAGGAATATTTTTCAGAAAAAATAATCTATGGATATTTTCGATCGATATTCAATTTGGTCCAGGCAATTAAAAATATAATACAAAAAATATAATAAAAAATATTAGTAAATTCATTTTTGGATTAATTTGGTTCTCAAATATTTCAGTTGTGTGATTTTAATTTTTAAATTTTATTTTTTCAAGTATTACAATATGAGATTTTTATTCTTCAATTTTTAATTGAGCATAATTTTAGCTTCTCAAATATTACAATTTTGTAATTTTATTCTCTTTTAAAAAATTTAATAATTTTTTTTGTTAATGTAATACTTATTGGTGATATGGTATATCAATATTTTTAATTAAAATTATTCTAATACTTGTTTTATCTAATATATTTACATTTTTGTAAAATTATATTAATATACCAATTTATATTTATAAAATTTTAATTTATTTATAAATATAATAATAATACTATGGACATTAAATTTATTTATTTAGTATGTAATAATAAATATATATTACTTCCAACGTGAATAAAATTTATAATATATATTTAATAATTTTAAAACATTATATATATATATATATTTTATATTATAATTTTTAAAATTATTAAATTTTAAATAAGATGGACTAAAATCGTACAATTACAATATTTGATAGATTAAAATTATTCAATTAAAATTTGGATGATCAAAATCACACAAGTATAATATTTGATAGACTAAAATTACTCAATTAAAATTTTGGGACCAAAATTACAAAATTTGAAGATAAAAATCCAATTAAGCCAAAATTTTAATATAATATAAAATGAAAATGAAAAAGGAAAAATAATAAAATAAGATAAAATAATAATGATATTTATGAAAACTCTTATTTGAGTATATAACTTAGGGAAAAATATTAATAATATTTTGAAGTTTTTATATCTTTGAACACTAAATTTATAATGTCATATCTTGAGTTATACAAGTATTCTTTGTACAGTTACAAATTTGGTAAAAATTAGTTGCAACTACAACTTAATAAAAATTAGTTTGAAAATAAGCTATTTTGATTGTGATGTTTTTTTTTTTGTTGAACCTCATAAAAGGAGAATGTCATATCTTTAGTTGCAATTATTTATTTGAGGTATTCTTTGAGACATTAAAAGATTTATGAAAAATCTACAACTTGAGTCTACAACTCAAGTACCAAAATTACTTTCTATCTCAATTAAATTAAATCTAAAATGGTTTATTTGATTATGGTAGAAAAATTATATTTATGTGTTCAACCTTATAAAAAAAATATAATGTGATATTTTCAGTTATATTATATTATATTATGTGTGTGTTTTTGAAAGTGATCTTCGCAACATTGAAAAACTTGATGGAAATCTACACAACCTATGCCTATGCTCATCTTCGGATCTATATGCAATACAGTGTGGACATTTTTCCCACTAACATTTTATAATTTTATGTATCATATAAATATTTTTTTTTATCTAAAAATAATAATAAAAGAGAAATAGTATGTTTTAAAAAATAAAAATTATATTTTGATAAAATAAATTTACATGTGCTTAAAGTTAATTTATCATATGTAAAATATTAAAGTTCAAAGGAGAAATATTTAGTGTATCAAAATTTTAAAAGAGATTAGTTCTCATATTTAATGGAAAATGATCCTTAATAAATAAAAAGAAATTCTTTAAAATTTAATTATTATATATATATATATATTAATATATTAATGATCTTGTGTATATAATATAATATATTTATTAAAAAATCAAATTTTAATAAAATGAAATTTGTAGAATACATATGTACTTTTTATATTTTCTATTTATTGCATATGTTGATATAAAAGAAAAATATGAATAGTAAAGAGTGTTAGATTATTTGAAATTTTTATTATAAAATACGTTTTTAAATAAGTTACATCTTAAATTATATATTAGATAATAAAAAACATGTTTATATATTTTATAAAATTTAACATTTATTTTCACATTTTTTTAGTGCTAATTAATACAAAATAATTTTATAACTCTAACCAAACATTTAAAAACTATTTATGACAAATAAATAAGTTAGACTTTGATCATATATTTATAACAAAGGTTTGACTCAAGTCTATTAAAATCTAGTATAATTAACCAATCTAATCTAGTTTATTTTCACTTCTAGATGTAGTAATTGTTATTTAAGGTTGTAGAAAATGATTATAATAGATATTTATCCTTTTTAAAGTGATATGTAATATTTTTAATATTATAAATATATGAATAAACATTGTTTTTACTATTTAAAGTTTCTAGGTCCTTGCACCTCAAAAATCAAAATCAATTTATATCTTGAAATAAATCAACCTTAAACTATGTCATTTGATCATGAAAAAAAAAAAAAATTAAAGTCCCACATGCTTTATTTCTCTTTTTCCTTTCACTTGAAAAGTTTCACATTACATAAAATTAATTCATGCATCTTCTTCTTTCCTTATATAAGGAAGAGATCCTAAGCCTAGAAAATTATATTTTCTTTTATCTAAAAAATATCATGTCTTATTAATGTTTTTTCTTTTTATAAATTATAAATATTTTATTTTTAATTATATATTTTTTAAAATAGTATAGTTATACTGTTATAATCATTTGAATATTCTTACTATTTGGTTGTGATAAAATGGGGACAGTCTTCCTAATTGATTAAATGTTAAATGTTAAATATTATTTTATTGTTATTTGATTATTGTGAAGAACTTATTAAAATATCAAATATTTTTAATAATAATATTTATAAATAAGGTTGATAGTAATAATCAATGGGATCTTCTTATTTAATTATTATGAAGATCTTATTAAAATATAAATATTTAAAAATATTAATAAAGATAATAGATATTTTATATCTTTTTTATATTTTATATTATTAGTGATAACCATTTGAATCTCCTTTTTATTTAGTTATTATAAAAGTTTTACTAAATATTTGAACACATGATGAAATCATTTAGATTTTATTTATATTTGATTATTGCAAGAACCCTTTTAAATAACAAAATAATTGAAGGATTGGGATAGTATGTATAGAATTTTAAGTTCAGACCATCTTACTAACATTATATTTCCTACCCATAAAAAAAATAGTTAAACAACTAAAAGATATTATATATCAACTTATAATATTTTTTTATAAGGAACAAAGGAAATATAAGGGTTAAGGCTGAAAGTAGACTAGGCCAAACTTAGCTTTACTATGTCTCGACCTGATCTTAGTTGAATATATGACTTGGGACTGAACTTTTAAACTTAGGTTTTTCAAAGGTCTCAATTTAGCCTGCATAAAAGTTTGATCTGACTAACAAACTTGTTGAATATAGTTTATTCAATATCTTATTTTGTAATAATTTAATAACTTAAGTTTATTTTGTTAAAGTTTTATAAAATTGGATCTAAATTTTTTAATATGATATAAACATATTTTTAAGGTATAATATGAAATTCATGATATATTTTTAATATATAATATATTAAAACATGTTTTGTAACAAAATTTCAAAAACATCACATAAACTTATCTATGAATAAATTTATAAATTTTTAGTTTTACATAACTTAATATGTTTAATATTTTTTAAGATAAATTAATATATGACTATGTTACACTATAATAAATTTGATATAACAACAATAAATATTTATTTAATTTATTTAAAAAGATCAGTCTAGTAAATATAATAAATTTTCTAAATGATCTAAAACTTAATCTTTTTAACTAAATAGACTTTAATAAAAATCTCGATCAACCTATTTTTTTTATTTATAAATGTTAGGCTTGATTTGAACTAAATTATAATCAAGTTCTTGTCAAACAACTTGATTTATTTTAATCTTTAGTAAGAATTCAATATTGTCAATTTAATAAAGATAAATAACAATAATATATTTTTTAGAATAATAAAATTTGTTTATTAAAAAGTGATTAAAAATAAAACCAAATAATAAACAAATAAAAACATAAAATAATTGTTTTCATTTAAAGGAATAAAATAAATAATTTTTAAGTAATATTAATTTTGTAGCTTCAATTAAAAAAAAACATTTTTAGGACTGTTGCAGTACTAACACCATGTATGGCCGTAGGGATAGGTGAATGACTTTCGACATTGATTTCTTTACTGTAAATTCTATCATATTTGTTTGAGATTGATTCCACCAGTTAACGATCTATCAAACTGCAAAATTCTAACCAATGGAACAAGTCATCACGGTAGAATTTGAAGAAATATGCGCCTATACGAATACGATACACAGAATTTGAAGTAACATGCTGCTATAAGATACATGCAGAATTCAAGCCAATAAGAAGAGAAGTCACTCGATTACAAGCACACAGAATTTACGCCAATAAGAAGAAAAGTCACTTGAATTCAAGCACGCAGAATTTAAACCAATAAGTAGAGAAAGTTACTCGAATGCAAGACAGAATTCAAGCCAATACCCGAATGTGAGGGACGAGAATAATAAGAAATAGGGTTATAACATTTGGCTATTACTTATGTAAGAAGCGACAAAATCGAAACATGTTAAAATTACAAAGTTGTGCACGTGCACCTGTGATTAAAGTCATTGGACATTTCGGAGATACGAGGATATAAAGATTATTCATTGGACATTTCAAAGATACGAGGGTTTAAGGCTTATTATTCTATGTCAGTGGCTGTGTTCTCCGTTGACGCGTCAACACACTTTTTGACTGTCTGACTGCCTGTCGGCAATTAATGTTGAATATTAGCTGGAAAATAACGTCAAATGAAAGTCCTTTTCCCATTTTACCCTTCCAATTACCTATATAAATTTGGGTATAGTTATTTGAGAAAAAAATTAAAATTAAATTTATTTTACACTCGGTACAAAACTGGATATACAAAATGTAGTCGATCACATTAACGTCTCGTCCGTAACATTTGATCATTACTATGACATCAATTAATCAAGTTGATAATAATTTTTTTACCATCAATTAAATACTACTTTTCATGCACTCTTTTGAATTTTACAACTTTGAGAAACCATAATTTTGTACAATTTGATCATTACTATGGCATAAAGTGAGTTGATAGTAAGTTTTTCACCATCAATTAAATGTCACTTTTCATTACACTCCTTTGAATTTTGCAACTTGAAAAACTATAATTTTGTTTTTGGTTCTAGCCAATCAAAGACTTCTCTACCCCCATTATTTGTTAATTTTAAATAACAGTTGAACAATTCAATAGATAGCTGAGTGGTCATATGCACAAACTCATCAAGTTCATAGATAACAACTACATAATAGAAAAAAAAATATTGAACAACAAAAGCATCATTTTTACAATCTCTAGAATGAGACCGCACAATTTTATTTTATTTTTTTTACGTCTAGTTCAAATGGATAGTGAATTGTATCACAAGAGACCACACAAACGAGGTCTTGAACAGAATTGTCTTCCATTAGCTTTCACAATTGCCATGAGGCCAGCAGTTACCCCAGCACAGAGTACAGAAGACACATAGTGTTGCGTATTTTTGCCAGCTATAAAATAAACAAGAAAACTAGAAAAAATGAGGAAAAAAAAAAGAGAAAAGTAAAACATCAAGGACCTTTTATTCAGATGGAAGAAACACAGAATCATATACCTTGCTGTATAGTGAAAGTTGTTGCTGTCAAACCACCAATTATCAAAGCAGACGCCACAGGGAGATACTGCATGTTTACAGTTTTTCATAAAACATGTCAACACCACTGAATTTGTTTCATAAGCGGTTTTAAAAGATGAAGTTTAATGCAATTATCTATGTCCACAAAAAGAATTTAAATTTACATGTGTGGCTAGTCAAGAATTGGTTGTGTATTCTTAATCATACACCAGAATGCATAATGTAACAACTTATATTGTCATCAAATCAGGACTGGTCCTAGGGTATACATATGAGCATCCCATTTATGCCAACCATACAAATACTACAACAATAAACATGTCTTTTTTAACTAGGTAGAAGCAGCTGCTGGATCAAATGATGTGCAATCCATTTAAGGCAACCGTGACATCCAGAAACAAACAACTTCTACATTATTCCATCCCCTACTTCATTTGGGTACAAGGATAGATTAACTTGGACATTCTAGATAACAATGTCTTATCTAATTGATATGATAGGATTCATTGATCAATTGGGGGTGGTTCATTTCATATTTCAATGCATTACAACTTTTCAGGATTGGGGGAGGAAGAAAATAGAAAGACGAGGCCCGGAAGCTACTTACTGTTAGAGGTTCGAAGTTATTCGACTGGAAAGGAGAAGGAACGTTTCTGCTGACATTATAGTGACCACTTATCAGATCCAGGGCATCCTGAAAAAGACACGAAAGTTAATAAATACTTTAAAATTGAGTGCTCTTTATTTTAAGGTTAAAATATTTTTTTAATCCCTATAGTTTCACTTTATCTTTTAGTCCCTATAGTTTAAAATAGGCTTTTTTAGTTCTTATTCTTATCTTTTTTTAATCATTTTTAGTCTCCATAGTTTCATATAGATCTTTGTAGTCTCTATACTTACAGCTTTTAATCTTTTTAGTCCTCATTCTTAACTTTTTTTTTTTTTTTGTTGTAACGTTGTGTGTTTTGTGTTGACATGATAAAAATCTTCAATTTTGTGAAAGTTAAAAAAGGTGTCTCAACAATGACGGTTGCATATGGGGGTACAAAATAAACTTGATATAAGACATCCAAAGACCTAATTTAGAATAACTCCAACAAATTAAACTTGATGTAAGACACCCAAAGTTTAATTAATATCTTTGTCACGTCAGCACAAAAGAGACTGTCTTAAAAAAAAAAAATAACGACAAGGATTAAAAAGATCTATATCTTAAACTACAGGTAGTGGTACTAAAAGGATTAAAAAAGATAAATATAGAGATTTAAAAGATCTATTTTAAACTATAGGAACTAAAAGGTAAAGTAAGTGAAACTTGTTGGAAATGGTCAACAACAACACCAAATAAAAGGAGCGTAGGGTGTTATTTTACTTAAAGAGAAAAATGAGGAAAACCAATAAAATAAAAGAATGCATAAAAAAAGGAAAAATAAATGAAACTTTGCATACATTATAAATAACATCATGCTATAGCTATGAAACAATCATTCCTACTACGAGAAAGAAAAAGAGAGAAAATAAAAAACTTAGAAAATATTTTAATTTTTGGGTGTTTTGGGTTGTGAGTTGAATGTTTGTAAACAGTTTATATTTTCTTCTTTTTCAATAATATATTTGCCATAGCTCGGACGTAGGCACAATTAGCTGAACTCCGTTATTAATATTGTGTGTTATTATTCCACATTTATTTTGTTTTTTGCAAATCTAATTATAAGAAATTTTGCGTAATTTCTCAACAAAATTATACGAACAAAAAAAGTATTTTATCCTTATTTAAGTGAGGGGTAAGAATAATGCATATAGATGAACTTGCCTGCCGAATTCCATCATGGAAGTTATTCAAGTAATATCGGGAAAGTGCACTAACCCCATCTTTAATCATTCCAGTTAGTGTTTGTTTCCCATATCTGCACCATATTTCCAAATTGTAACAGTACCACAGAAGGGAAACATATCAACACAGGACTTTCAGGATAAAAGATTTCTTACCTAACTAAGTCTCCTTTGAGGGCATGAGTGCCGGCATACTCGAGGCTTAACTCATCCCCTTGCTCTGCCCATGCTAAATAACATAAATAGAGCTCAAATAAGCAGGGAAAAAATTCATAAAAAATGGAAGGAATTATCCAGAAATTGCATACATATTCTAAATTTTCCATATTCCTCTCCGAACATTGAAATGCACTCAGAGGAAGTCAGAACTCCAATCCTCTGCAACTGCAGATTTAATGACTTCTGGGCCAGATAACACTACAAAAAACATAAAGATAGCCCTCTCATAAAAATCGTCATGTTACGCATTTCAAAACAGGAGGACAACAAGACAAGGATTAAGAAAAAAAAAAAAAAAAAGAAGTACTAGCATTCAATTAATCCCATATCAAACAAACCTGAGTAACATTTGTTCGATCAAGGGAATCAATGCAGTTTGCTCTCATAAGTCCTCTCTGCTCCTCTAGTACATTTCCTTGTCTATCTATCAAGAAGTATCTGCTCCACTGAAATAGCAATAATTAAAATATCTGAATTATAGATTTTAGCCAGTATACCTGGATTGTGGCAACAAATTATTTTCATTACCTTTGTTTTTCAAAATCCTCTGAGATTTGATCATATAGGATTTCCAGATTATCAAAGTTTGAGCTCCCACAGTGGTGATGAAAATCAAAAGGCACATATCTGCCGTAATCCATTGTCATATAATACAGCCAAACCAAAACTTCATAATTATATTGATGTAAAATAAGTGCATAAAGAAAAAATGTTTAAATTATCACCTCCCATTTTGCTGATTTTGCATTTCCGCAGCATATGCTGCACTTAATTGTCCTTCTTCACCATGCTACAACAGTAAAATTTAAAAGAAATTGCTTAAAATAATACACACAAAGTAACAAGCACTTAAAAGGGAACATTGGCAGTGGAGACCAGCTGATGATTATTATATCGTCGAGGACATGCTAACCAAACTCAACCATAGGCTCAATTTCCCCACTTAAAATTCTGGGGATTAGAAAAAGGATGCTGAAAAAGAAAAATATCCTTAATATGATAAAATGCAAAAAGTCCCTATTGCATCTGGTCACATGAGGCCAAACTGAAAACCAAACACATTTTTACTCAATCATGATTCATGAATATCCTTGCCTCCAAAGCATCAAGAAGATGCTATATACATTTGGACTTGCAATAAATCTTAAAAATAAATTTGTGACAAATTAATTGCTTAAAGTTGAAAGAGAGGAGAAAGAAGCCATACTTTATCAGTAAGATCAAGTGCTACTACTATCTCTCCGTATCTTTGAATGAGGTCATGGAAATGACGCTCCACAATTTTGGGCTGGTATAGGAGTCGGGGGGAAAAACAAAAGAAACATGGATTAATATGAATCTCATGATAATACCATTAAAGTGCAGGCAGAATTGAGAGATAGAATCATAGAAGTATACTGTTTCCTCATGACTAATAACCCTAAGGTGCGGTTTATAGCTTAGATCAACAATCTGCTCCCATAGAAGAGGAATTGAACCTCGAACCTGTTAAAAAACCAATTGGAGTACAAATCACAAATCGGCAGACCAAAATATTGACATTTGCACATAAAAGATGTTCTATGCTACTAGGATGCCTAATGCTCATTAACTATTATCTCTTTGTATATATATGAATATATAATAGTAGTCAACAGCACGCTATAGTGGTGCTACCATGGTGTAGGCTTCAAAATCCATTCTTTGCCTTGAAATAGCATCGTTTTGGGATTTTTTTGGGTAAACTTGTGACTTTACTCCCATTTTCTGATGAACTTTTTGCTTCAACAACATTATAGGATTTGAAACCCTTCTTTCTTGACATTCTGGTCTTTCTTCTCGTAGACTTCCTATGTTTCAAACTCTTTTCCTGGACTATCTTTTTTCTTGTATTCTGGTCTTTCTTCTCGTAGACTTCCTAGTTCACATTCTGCTAATCTTTATCAAATATGTTATGTTCTTTTTTTTATTAACTTACCCACATCTTTCATTTTTGAACTTATTACTATGCTCTTAGATTTTGGTGATTGTGCGCGTAAGCTGTGACTTATTATTTATTACGAACTTCCTTTTCAAAAATTATATATTATGAACTTCTTTCTTTTTAAATGTTTGAGTATTTATGTGTAGTATAAATTATTTAGTTCATATCTATTTATTATATAAAGACTCAATTGCAGGTTATAATGTTGCCATCTCAGATTTCTAAAGATTTTAGGTTCTTCCACATAAGCATTTTTGCTTATGCCACGGGCTATATAATGTTGCTATAATGTTTCTCTCATTTCACAATTTACTACACTTGTTTTTTTTATTATATAGAGGTTAATACTTTTCAAAAACAATGGAAATGAATGTGTTTTATTCGTTATTAAACTCTCATTAAAACTATTTATAGTATTCAATGAATAGTTTTTCTCTTTATCCAATCACCTCCTATATTCTATCCCGTATCTCTTTCTCCTTATCCAATCATCTCACATGTGAGCCATACATTTCTCTTCCATTTTATTCATCACTTCTTCTTTTTCTCTCTATTTTTACTCTTTAATCATTTCATTTGCTATGAGGCTAAGTCCAACTTTACATCAAGGGTTGGCTGTTGGAGTACATAACTAAATGGATTGAGAAACAAGTATTTCAATTTATCACATCGTGAGAAGGATATTGCGGTTGGATATTTCTAATAATAGTTATCCAAATGGAAGAAGATATCTAGAACTTTTTAATGTTTTTTTTGGTAAACTTATGCAAGTTCATATATGTTCTTGAGTTTTATAAATTACGCCCATTTTAATTCAAATAAAAATCTACAAATATGTTTTAATTATTGTGCTTTGCTTCAATTTTGTTGGTTATGTTTTTTAGGCTTTTAAAAAAGGTAATAACATATAATAGAACTTGATATGTTTCATCCAATTTTAGATAAAAGAGTTTAAAACATTCCTCTCCAATGTTCATTCACCTCCAACGATGGTTATGTTTTATTTTTGAGTTGTTATACTTTTAATTCATAACCATTATTTTATTAATCTATATTTTTCTTTTTTTTTCTTCTCTTTTTGTATCATTCATATTTGTAAATATTTTTTCTCTTCTCTTTTATATGTCACTCATATACAACACTTTCAATAATATTTTGTTTGTCTTTATCAATATATCATATTAGTCATTATTTTTTCTTCCTTCTCTTTTTTTCTTCAATTTCTTATTTTATCTTTTTTTTTTCTCCTCGCGACACTTGTATTTTGTATATTTCATTTCCGTTTGAGGGTTAAGATATACACCTTTTTATTATTTTGAATTTTAAAAATTAATTAACCTGTGTAGTAATTAATATCAATTATATTATATAATGTTACAATTAATATTGAGTTGTTAATTATCTATTTAAATTCAAATATGTGAGGTTAACTACCTAAACTTTTTACTGATGGGCTACGCGTGCGGTGAGAGTTAGGGTTTTGTTTAAAAACATTAGTAATGTTAGATCTACCACACATGTGATCTAACCGTACATTGTGATCTGAAGACGAAAGCGAACTAGCAACCAGAAAGGAACTTAGAGAGTAGAGCTAACGTAAGGAGGAGTGAGAACCTCACTCTGGGGTGTAGGATAATTGTTGGTTAGCAGGATTAACCCCAATCCCTAGATGTGTATGTATATTGGAGAAGCTTTTTGTGAACTTGTATGAAATTGAATGTTTTGTATATGATAGATGTGTGTATTGATGTATTGGTTATAAGAATTGTATGTAATCATGAATTTATGAGTGCTTGTGGGTTTCTGGAGAATCTTAAGGATGTATCTAAACCCTTAGATTGGAGCTAATTCATAATAATTGTAAATTGCATGACTAAAATGTGAATTAATTAGACTATGAAAATCGCTTTAACAAATTAAAATCGTAGATATCATAGAAGCTACATATTGAAAAAAAAATTGTGAATTATGCAGATTAAGTTTTATTGATGTCGTGTCAGGCAACAACTTGGTCTCTCCAGGCATGGGTAAACTAGAATGCTTGCAACCTCAATCATGTCAACCATGGGCTTGGCCTCGTCGGCTGTGAAAGTTCAAAATACTTGTAGCACTATTAACACCAAGCGTAAGGGTAGTTATGCCAAGCACAAAAGCTCCAAAGATCCTCTAGTTGCATCTCGTCGGATGCAGGAGGATCACATCGAGCATGATTTCCTTCCAAAGGCTCACGGCCTTGCACGCATCGAGCGTAGGGTGTGTTTTGCCAAGCACAATTCTTTGTTTAAACCTACTTCTTATATACATGTATGTGTGGGTGGTTTGTGTATATAAGTGAAAGTGATATGCGGTGAATTGCGAAGTGATAAGTGATAAGTGATAAAACGTGATGTGTTATGAATGATATGTGGTAAGTGAATTTGTGTAATAATGCATTGAGTTTTGAATGTCATGCATAACATGCATTTGTGTTTTGTGATGGGTATGATGCGGAATACACCGTTAGGAAAAGTCCCCTTGTGTAAAAGCTTGGAGATTAGTCCTTGGGGATAGTTTGACTTGAGAAGCCCCAATCTCCTCCATTGTGTGCATGTGACGTATCTTGCACGACTCAGCTATCCCGATAAGACCTTAGTAATATATTCTTCTGGTGAGAGTGTTGTGATGACTTGACCTGATATGTATTCGCAGACTACTCAGCCTTTGGACAAGGAAAAGTGTTTTTATTGGCATCACAAGCATATAGATTAGGAGAGTCTAGTCTAGTCTAGTCTATGTAAGATCATGACATTTTGCTTGTGTTTAAACCGTATTTTGATTGATATCGTGATGGAATGAGATATAAATTCAGTTGAAATTATTGTATAAATTGATGAGGAATTTAATTATTGGTTTTATATATAATGTTTGTGTGTGCTATCTGACCTTATTCTACATTAGTAGCCGGACTGGGATATGTTCTCACTCCCTATTTTTCCTTGTGGATGTCTATGTGGTTGCAGGAGACTTCCTTTTTGAAGGAGTCTAGTTGATTGAAAGGAGAGCTTTGATACCTGTGCTAACAGGATATTGAATTATGTTTCATGTTTTTTGTTTTAGGAATTATAGTTTACTTTCCTTAAAACGTACTTTCCTTAAAGTTTGTAATAGTTAGGCATTGGTTTAGTTTATTTGAATTTTGAATGTGATACTCTTTACCTTTGTTTGAGGTTATTCAAGTACAATATTTTCTTTTTTATAATTATTATACTATGCATACGGGGTAAAGGATGTTACAATATCTAGTTATAATATTAGAAATAACATCCATCCTGCTTCCTGCTATGGCATTTTCAGAACTAGCTGCTATATATATAAAATTTCTTTACTTCAACTGGTAAGTAAACAAAAACATTGTTAAATTCCAGCATTTCCTTGACATTAAATTCCATTGGATAACAATACCTAGAAGAAGTAGGGAATAATTACTTCTAGTTGAAACTAAGAAAATTAAAAAAATCTCCAAATACACAAAACTCAGTTTGTACCTCAAATAAAATAGTGAATCCTATATATTCTGCATTATATTATCTGTATTCAAAATTTTGAAACCTTGGGAAAATACAGCAATCAAAGCCCTTCAGCATGTTTGACAACAGTACCAATTCTCAGAAACATGGACAGCAAGCTAGTAACCAATATAGAGTGGAGAAATTATTGAAAGGAATGACTGGAAGTTGGTACTAATTAATGTAAAATAATACCTGCAAAAGGGAGAACTTGAATTCTCCAGTTTCAAGCAACTGTTCAGTTTCAATGAAATTAGCAACATCACCTTCAAGGTTAGCTCCTCTTCTCCACATTCTTGTTCCTATGTCATTATATTGCCATATTATAATGAGCTATTGCAGGCATATAAATTTATAATGCTAAGAAGCATTTTCGGAGATTGTACCTAAACGCCGCGTACATCTCCTTGAAAATAATGTTACTGTAGCATTTGAGTCTTTTAGCTTCAGCTCTGCTACTTGGAAGCTTAAGCCCAGTTAAGGGAGAACATAAGTGGCTTCTTAAAGTGACAACATACTTACTTCATTTTCATCATTTTCTTTGTACTGACATTATGTGGAGAGCATGCACACACACAAACAAAAAAATGCAGGGAGGGGGGTGGGGCGGGGAAAAAGGGATTTTAAAGTTCAGGATATTCCCTTGTACTAAAGGCACAATGAATCTGTCAAGCTGCCAACATAAAGATAGTTGTTAGTTAAGGTGACAACCTTTATGATCATACTAAGAACTAAGAAGAATGACAAGATGGAGTTCATTCAAACTTTGAACCATTTTTTTCCCTAAACTAATATTCCTTTTATTAGTGAAACAAAAAGCTCTTTTACTTCAGCAAGCAGGAAGAACTGCCAAATGATCTAACCTTAAACTCAATTAGCTCCTCCAAAAGATGTTTGTTCCACACAAATCGAGGGTCAGCCTGAAATACAAACAGAAAAAGGAAACCTAAAGCTTTCATCAAATTTTTATTGATAATAGCATTAAATGGTGCCAATGGGATCAAGAAACCTTTATTTTATTTTTCCCATTCTGCAATTAAATGCATCATAGAAATGGCCCAAAAAGGACATAATATATTTCATTTCTATAGCATTATGACAGAACTAATCAATAAAATAATCAAAATGAAGAAACATAAGTAGAATGAAACAAGATATACCCGAAATTTTAGCTGTAACATAAGAAACTATTCAATTATGCATGAGCAGAATGCTGGTGAAGGAAAGCTCCAATTTCAATGGAGGTATGAAGTAAATTTCAAATCACTTAATGATCAGATTTGACGATAATTATTCCCAGAAGATCAATAATTATGACCACTAACCTGCTTCCAAATTGGCTTACTCATCCACCCTTCTACTAACTTGCTTCTTCTCTGCAAGCTGAGGACATGATGAATTACATTTATGAATATCAACCTCAGAAGGCTAAGAATTTGTTTGGATACAAGCTTACAAGTGTTTTTAAGAGTTTTTTTACTGGAAATAACTCTTTTATTTTCGGTAGAGGAGTTCTCAAAAACACTTATAACTTGATCCAAACAAACTCTAAGATGATAATAAACCAGAAATTTAGTCTTACTTTAATGTAATATCTGTTTCATATGAATAGTACAAGCCTGGCATCGACTCCACTACTTTTAATAGGTTCATGAAGTAAGCCTCATCCTTTTTCTACAAAAATATATAGTACACAGAAATGTATTAAATTAAATGTGGATCACATGTATAGCATTTTAATGAGGCCTGAATGACTGTTGGCTATATAAATCCTTACTTCTTGAGCAGTTGAAAACTTCAAAGCTTCATTACATGCAAGTACTCTCATGGACATCAAGCGATATACTGGAAAGCCAAGGAAACTCCCAACTTCCTTCCGAGAGGTTATTACAATAGCATAAGTTCCTATGCCCACGCACACAACATTGAGCCTTAATGAGTATAAAGGAAGTTATGTCGTTAGACTAGGTGGTTATTTAAGAAAAAAAATTGAGTTCATTTCAATTCTTTTAGCTTGCTCAACTTCTTTATGCTAAAGCAGACACAGTCAACATATTAGGCATACATCCTTAGGAAAGGAGAAAGAATAATAATTGTACAATTAGTCAATGCCATGATTTACCCAAAAACCATGACCATTTAGTATGCACAAATATTGACGTGTCAACAGGATTAGATTTACTTCTTCACTGGCCAACAAACATCTCAACCAAACGAAGATCCTCAAGTAGGATCAGGATCAAGACAAGATTAGATGTTAATACCATCCAATCTAGCATGTTCATATCCAAACAAACAAATGAGTCAATATGAAAAAATGCATATGCAAGTATATAATAATTAGACTTGGTAACCTATGTAAATGCACGCAAAAGACAAAATACGATCTCCAATTCAAAACCATGTTTTGCAAAAAATTTACTGCAGTGCCATCGCGCAGGATAATTTGTTGCCATGGATAGTTTTATTATATATGTAGACAACTTAAGATATATAAAGCATATCTACCTACAATCAATCTTATTGTTCCCACCACACCATAAATTGTAGATGTCTTCAACGGACTTCCAGAGAATGTGTCATCTGAAAAAAAAAAAAAAAACACATAAGGAGATAATTACAAATTTACAATGAAATGGTCAATTTCAAAGACTTATTCATAATTAACAATTTAGTCTAACATATATAGAATAGAAGCTAAATAACCAAGTAAGATCCAACCAAACCTCAAAATGTAATAAACAGTAACCTTCAGCTATAACTGATTCATAATGTGTAAATGGAAATACTCAGTATATAACATTACAGACGATCTCCCTTTATCCCCATAATAACAACCAGCCAAAGCCAACATCATCACTAAATAAAACATCATATCCACAACTGAACGATCTATTCTTAAAACTCTAAGACCCCCCGAAAAGTATTCCCACTTAGTAAATAAATGAACTTTTCAACTTTATTTTCTCTTTTTAACAAGTTACAAATTTGACAGAACATTCTCTACGCAAGTGCAACCATTCACGAAATGAAGAAACCAAAATTCAGAAAAGAAGATTACCATCAAGTAGATTGAATTTTCCATCGAGACGGTTAATCCAAAAGCCATGGTTGGGGGATTGATGGGATTTGATCACGAACTTGTCCTTAAACTCTTGCAGCTCCAGCTCATCGTAAAGCTTGAATCTTTGAGGTGAACTCGAAGGGGGTTCAGCATCCATTATCAAATAATTGCAAAAACAAAACAACCCTCGAAGGAATTTAACAGGACAACATTAAGACGCAATTTTTTTATTTTTATTTTTTTATATCACATTAATAACGAGAAAGTCTTAAGGAACGAACATCCAACCCAGCCAGCCAGACAGCGAAGCACAACATCAGTGACTTTCTGAAGGAAGTTACGATAGTACCCTCTCTTATTTATAAACCAAATCAACAAAATGTGTAGACATAAGTATTTCAAAAATTGACGACTAAGTATTAATTTATTTTAACAAAATATAATTTTTCTAGTCAAACATTATAAGTGTTTGATTTATTTTATCTACAAATGAAATCAATTAAATAAGTTCTTTAATTATTTAACAGCTTTTAAATGCTTTTTAAATTATATTTTAATTGGGTTCTTAAATTAAAAAAGTAGGTCTTAAAAATTAATTTAATGCAGTTTCAAACCATTAAAATTAATAATTTTCATACAGTACACCACAAAAATAATGTGCAAGGTAATTCTATTTAATTTAATTTTCAATGTATAAATAAATTCAATTTTCTACTTATAAAATCATAACTCTCATGATAACTTTTGTGACCTCATTTTTCTACATATGTATACAAGCATGTTTAATTTATAATTTAAGAAATCTTATGGCATTATTTATCATCATTTGCATTAATTCTACTCCCTTATTATATTCCATAAGGTTTGACAATTTATTTAAATTTTCATTAATATAAGAGAGTAATATAATTAATATGGTGTGTAAAGTTAAAAATTATTTAAATTTGCATTGAATTAGTCCTTATATATCTCCCACATTTAAAATATAATAATGATAATAATTGTTATTTGAAATTCAAAAGAACTATATTAATTTGCATTGAATCAATTTTAAAATTCACCAAAAAAAACAATTTTAAAAGCTTAGGATTTAGAAATTTAGTTAAACTGTGATAAAATTTCAAAACAAAAATTATAGGACGTGACTCTCTGTTCTACTGATTTCTTAAAAAATGATTTTTTGTTTTTTAAAATAAAAAAAAATTCTCAAAACTAGGAAATAAACAAATCTTAAGAACTTAATTTTGTCCCATAAAATTTACGAAGTAACATGCAGATAAAAAAACAGTAAAGAATGGCACTTTTTAGTAACAGTTGCATGAAGCAAAATGTACGAAATAAGAGGCAAGAGAAAAATGATAGTATTATTAGTTTAATTTAATTTAGAAAAAAATATGCAGTCTCTTTTTCTTTTAAAGTTCAAGCTTTTAGAGAAAATTAAAAGTTGTTAGATCATACTTGTGTTCTTTAAGATGGAAATATTAACACAATGGAAAAAAGTTATACCTTCTTAATTGACAAAAATAAATAAATAAATCACAAATTTAGTCTTTATACATTATTCATTCCATCTTGAATTGGTAGCGAATATTGAGAGGTACTTTCTATTTATTCCACCAACGGTGGTAAGAGCCAAAACTAGTCTGATTTTCAATCATGAATTAATACTCCATAACATTTGCTTTCTGTAAAAGGACAGGTAGTTACATTGACCAAAATGAAGAAAGTTTCATAATATTTGACATCATAAACCAATGTCCTTTATTTTAACTTGTCCTAATTATTTTATGTGGCATTATGCAGTGAGGGATTCTGTGAAAGCACAGTTGCATTCTTCTCAATTTCCTTGGTGATCTTTGGATCCATAGACTTCCCTTTTAGAAAATTCGAGTACCATTCAGCAGAGAGCTTAGGCTGCCTCCTTAAGCTTGGATCATTCCTATCTACGTAATATAGGCCAAAACTTGATTCATATCCTACAAGTAACTCAAATACATCCATGAAGGACCATACAAAATAACCTTTTACATTTGCTCCACTCCTTTCAATGTGCCAACAAGAAAAAAACAGAATAAACAAAATTCAGCTTTAATGAAAAAATTGAGGTGTCATGTTGAAGACATTATACACCCTTTAACTTCACCACTTGAAAATGAAAATCAAAGTAGAAGTACCTCAGTGCATCAGCCAAGCATCTAATGTATTCTTGCAAGTACTTTACCCTCGGCCAGTCATCTAATGATGAATTATGAGGTGTTTGTTGGCCTGCAAAACTAAAAAGACTTTACCACACAACAAAATAATATGACATTGGATATCTTGAAAAAATGTATCATGGGACTATTGAATGTCCATTTCAAGGGAGATATAATGATCATGTCATGACATGGAAAAGAGACAAACCGTTTTCGTGTATGTAAATTGGAATATTTCCGTAAGCTTTCTTTAGTGAGTCAAGCATCCCTAGGAAAATCTCGGGAGTAATTGGAACCTAAAACAACCAACTACTTAGTGGAAACTGGAAAGTATTGAAGGTCCATCCTTAAAAAAACAGATTTATAGACAGAAATAGCACCATGTTCCTGCTATGTTACCTGATATGTAGAATTATCATTTGAAGTATATCCTACAACCAGAAATAACATTAATTAGCTGTTTCAGATCTACAAAATTGAAGAGTGGAACAAACCAGACTGATTTCACCTACTGGAGTTTACCAACTAAACAAGCCTTTAGCAATGGCAGACAGAATGGTAAAATTTAGACGGGATTTGTTAGTGTTTAATGACATGTATTATGGTAGTTTAGAAGAAGACTTGAATTGATATAGGTAAGAAAAGAAAATGTTGTGGATCATATATATATATATATATATTTGTGTTTGTGTGAGACAAGATTGCATATAGAAGAAATTCCATCAGGATGTGCAATGGAGCCACAAAAGGTCTATAAAAAGTATTAACAAATGTCATCAACAGCAAGAGACAATGATCGTGAATCAGATTTTCTGTCCCAAAGAATTAAAAAATTTAAATATTTAATTAAAAACATAAATTCCATGATCCAAAGTTTAACAAAAATCACAAATTGAGACATGATCCCTTTAAAGGTACATCTGCTGAAATAAAATAGTAAGTAAATAAGTCAAATTCCATGCATAAGAAGTATATTGATTAATAAGGTAAAGGAAGAGACCTCTCACAATAAAAAGTAACTTGTTGAACCTCCATATAGAATTGGTTATGCAATAAGAAAAGGTCAGGGAAACAGTTTATAACGTACTTTGCATTTCCACAGACATATCTGTTATGTAATCACCATTCTCCTTGTGCAGGCTGCTATGACTGTTCTTAACATAAAATGAGTAGTAAAAGTTTATTCCTATGAAGTCTATTGAGCCCCTGACCATATTTGATTCCTTTTGAGTAAAGGAAGGAAGCCTTGAGCCAGCATTCTTTTTCATTACATCAGGGTAATCTCCAAATGTAAAGGGATTCATAAACCTGCAATAACAAATCTTAGACAAAAAGCACACTGTAGTAATTGATGTGTAATTGAAAGTTATATTATTTATTTTATTAGGAAAATAATGTTGGACACTTGGATTTTTATGAAAATCCTTTACTAAAAGGTTGTATGAGATATAAAATCATTCACGACATTGTAAAGTGTCATCACATTCTTTATAATTTAACTAACTTGCAAGGTACAGTGGTGTGTGCATTGTCATGCTTTAAGCATCAAGGGCTCTTAAATGAAGGAACACATGAGTCAGTAGATATATGAAAATATTGTTTCTTCGCATAACAGTTTATTTATTTTTTGAAGATTTGGTCCTTTGCCATTCCAAGATGCAAATTTGTTAAATATCAACAGGAATTATAAGGATATATCATCACCCTAGATTGTTACTTACCACCCAATTAAGAAGTCTTGGGCCCTTTGAGTGGCCCTTACATCATCAATCGAATTTGTTAGTGGAAGAAGACCAAAAGGAAGGAGATTAAAACCAATTAAGCCATGCTGAATGCCCTGCATCCAAAAGTGATTGTTTTCTGAACAAATCAATTGATTATCACCATTTCAAAATGATATAATCATGATGAACAACAAGGCAACACCTCTAATGCTATCCTACCAGATTATGGTTCAAAATGCAAATAGAAGACCTAATGAATGACATAATAGAGTGGTGCATTTGTTAGATAATTTTTACCTGATATTTCTTCCTATACAACCTAGCAGCTGAAGCATGTGCCAACAGCATATAATGGGTCGCCAAATATGCCTCAGTTGAGGAATTTCCTCTGGTGCAATTAATTAAAGGCCCCGGAGAGCATCGTTGAGGTGGTAACATTCCTATATCATAGCCAAAAATTGCTTGCACATTGGCCTCATTAATAGTGGTCCAATACTTGACCCTGTCACCAAATTCTCTAAAACACACATCCGCAAACGCTGTGAAGTCTTTCCTACAAGCACATATATATAAATGTCTTGAAAACAAAAAAACAACTTCTTTTACGTGTAACAATGATGAGAAACATATTAAAAATAAGACCATAAATAGATATGAAATCACAAAATTTATTTAACGGTGATTCGACTCTTCATGCTTACGTCCACAAGGATGTTTATTATCTCAAAATGTATTATATGTATGTTCCTGAAAAATTCTCCTTCAAGTTTTGTGGGTGAAACTTGAAAACCTTTTAAATAAATTTTATGGGTGAAACTTAGAAATCCCTCCCTCACAAGTTCTATGGATGAAACTTAGAAACCCTTTTCTCACAAGTTTTATGAGAAACTTGGAAATCCCTCACTTACAATTTTTCTAACGAAACTTGGAAAGCTTCTTTCATATGACTTATTCTTTCATTAAGGCAGTGACCCCATTACAGGTTAAGTGATTTTTCTTATCTTAAAAATTTCTATTTATTGACCTAATATTTTAATCTTAAAAGAGAAAACAAATATCTAAAATATATACAAATAAATAATATATTTCAATTCTAAATAATATCTTAAAAAAATCAATATTTTTTAAAATCTAAACAGTATTTTAAAGACTTGAATTTGAAAATTTGAATTGTTTTTCGAAAAATATGTTAATCACAACAGATACCATTTCTCAATTTTATGCCAAATGTAATTAATATGATCTCAATCTAGGATAATATGGTAACACAGTTAAAGACTCTTAAGTATGGGAACCATACACAACTGTTCGACTAACCCATCCTCCATATTCATCCTCTAGTGTTTGTGGTATGTCCCAATGGTGTAATGTAACATGTGGTTGGATTCCTACAAGACGAGGAATCATCAACAAAAAGAAATATATATCAGCATATAACTTAACATAACCTCTCTTAGGTGTTAATCAAACTTCAAGAGGGAAATCTAGTTTTCACAAGAACCATGGCTTATGAGTTCATTGATAAGGTTGTCATAGTACTGTAGTCCCTTGGGATTCACTTGTCCTCTTCCATCTGGTAATACATGGTAACAAGATGGTCAGAACAGTTTGATGTACTCAACTATATTCAATTGGAGTCCGAGATTGCTGTGCCTAAATCAAACCAAGTGTGTGTCTGATACATATAACTTTTGACATTATTTTAGACATTGATTTAAGAATCTCCCCAACAATTTTGGTTATCTCACCTGGAATAAGCCTTGACCATGATATGGAAAATCTATAGGCTTCTAAGCCCATGTTGGCCATGAGCTGGACATCTTCCTGCAGGAAATCAAGGACTGACATTTGCTCAGAACAAACTTTAAAATCATCAATTTAAAGCCAGTGGCGTATATAAGATGATGCATCTTGTGCACATGCATGTATACTCCTGGGCCACAGACCTTATATTTGTGATATTGATCACATGCTACATTTCCATCACCTTTATACATATTCCCTGAAACCATATTTTGGCATTCAGACATTTTAACAAAATAATGACATTAAACCTTATAAAAATTGGAATATATTATAAAACTGAGATAGTACCATTTCCAGCAAGGGAGAAGGTATCCCATATGCTTGGCTTCCTGCCATCTTCATTTGCTGCACCTTCAACCTTTCACACCACCCCAATTACAAATTTATAATATAATATGGTTTTAAGAATTAAAACATGTTCAGGTAAACTTATCATAAGCATATTTAGGACAGAAAAATAAAAAGAAAAAATAAAATGAGATTCTCCATAAATTAAAATTAGTTTGTACAGAGTTGATTTGTAAATTTCTATCACTTTTAAAAATCTTATTTTTAATTTTTTATAAACTAATCCTACTTTTCTATCCTGGTTTGAAAAGGAAGAAAAAGGAGTAGAATAATAGAAATTGAGAGAGAGAGAACCTGGTAAGCTGCGGTTGATGCACCAAACACAAATTCAGGAGGGAAATCATCTCTGCTCAAGGCATGAGCACCATGGTGAAGTATCACCAATACTAATTCTATAACTGCAAAAACCTTTAACATCAAAGAAAGCATACCCTGTGCTCCTTCTTTCTCCTGTGTTCTATTGTAAGTTTAGACAATCAACCTTATAACACATGTTGTTACTTTCTTTGTTGTTTTTGATGCGTGGAAGAACATAGGTGTCTAGATTATTCAACTTTGACAAGTAAAATAATTGATGTTGGGTCCATCGAAAAGGCACAGAGGATTTAATTAATTAATTAATCAAAAGTGTCTTCATGTGAGGAAGATCGTAGTTAAAACGGTGACTCCAAAGTCTAAAATTAAGGCCGCTTTTGATATTTATATATCCCAAGCCACTTTTTGTTCCCTCTCAAGATACTCTCGCTATTAACTTTGGTCGTTTACTATATTCTTTTGTCTCATCTCATAACAACAGTTGTTTTAAAGTATTTATTATAAATAAAAAATAATTATTCTATAAAATTAATTTTATAATTTCTTAGAAATAATGAACATAATAATTTTTTTTAAGAAATATTATAAGAGATATAAATAAAAAATGATGTAATTAATATTATATTAAAAAATTAATATAACATTTATTTTATTTTAATTTTTAAATATAACACTCTATATCAGACGAAGAGAATTATAACTAAAAAAAAAACTATTGGAACGACATAAATCCAACACCTCACTCTAGTACAACGAATAGGACATACAAGAAAAAAATATTCATCATTTATTATATTTAATTTGATTCCTTTCAATAAGAATGTGATATAATTAGTTTCTTTTGATAAGGATTTGATATTAAGAAGATATGGTAAATATTGGTTGAAAAAGAAATTTTCAATTTTTGTTATCTTTGGTTTATGTTATCAAAATAAAATATATTTCTCTTCTTTTCTCCTACATTTCTACACGGTCTTTAAATCTAGTGTTTTCTTTACCAAAAAAAAATCTAGTGTTTTACTTACATTGTTTTAATAACTCTTTGAGTACATTTAAGTTTATTGAATAATATGTGTCTCAATTATTGTTTAACGGATTTCATTCTAGTAAAGACGAGTCTCTTATAAATTTTAATTAATAATAAAAAAATATTGAATAATTTGTAGATAGTTTATTTATACCATTTGTCGTTTAGTGTAATCAATGAGAAAAATAATTTGCTCAAAAAAAAAATGAGGAAAAAATTAGACTGCTGATCGTTGATGTTGATTGTGTATTTCCTGTTAAAATGTATCTTTCAATTGATTACGTGTTTTTATTTCATTTACATAAACAAAAAGATAACAAGAGAAAATAAACTTTTTCATTCGATAGATATTTAACATATCTTCGTAGGATCAAATCTTTATTAAGAGAAACTAATTATATCATATATTTTAAGAAAGAATTAAATTAAATATAATATCTGACCCTTACATTCTCATGTTGTGAAGATAATTAACTTAACAAAAATTTCGTGTTCAATAATCATTTATCACTGTGTTTTCTTTTCGGTCATCAATGGAAACTAGGCACCACTACGGATAATAATTAACCATACTTTGGTTATATTTTTTCAATTAATAAAATTTAACTATTTTAATTAATATTTGTACATTCCACTTTTATTCAAAGTAGTAACTTACTGCTAATTAATTCATAAAATAAATATAAATAATTGATAATGAATCATTGTTAATTTTTAAAATCAGAAAAATGAAGAAAAAAAATTAAAACCCTTAAGTCAAGTTAACAGGTTGGAGAAAAAAAAATCAAGAGGGAAGTAAGGTCCTGGGAACTGGAAGTGAGTTTTTGAGAGAGAAAAAATAGTGCTATCGGTGTAAATAATATAAGATGTCATATTTGTTTATTATTAGAAAAAGAAATATTATAATAAAGACAAATAAATATTATTAGAATGGATTCATTTTGTTGATTTTAATTACTCAAAAGTGAGTGTAGGCATATGAATATGTGATCCATTTAAGCTCTAATCCACAAAATTTACAATTTATAAAATTCAAATAAATCTGGTCTATAAAATAAATAGATTTTTTTTTCAAGTTTGTATTTAATTTGCCAAAATTCATAAATAAATTGACTGATCCACGAGTCTAAATAATTATTTTAAAAAATATTTTAAAAATAAAAAATACACAAAATTAAAAGAACAAAAAATATTTTTTATTTTTAAGTTAAAATCTATCACACTAAAATTTATCAATATTTATAATGTTCTTAAAAGTTAAATATTACAATTTTTAAGAGTGAAAACATTACTAATACTTATTATACATTAGTATCAAATTTTCAATGATAAAAATATCAAAATATTTTAAAAATAATTCAAATAACATTATGACAAATACACATAAATTAAATATAATTTTAATGTCATGATAATTTAAAAGTTTAAATACACAACCAAATATTACGATCTTAATATATGAAAAATTAATTAATAAAATATGTGGACTAGCCCGTAAACTTGTAGATTAAGTTTACAAGATCTATAAATTTTACCGATCGAAGTTCAAAAATTAAACATTATTATACATATTTTTTTTAAAATTCCATTATCTTTGAGGTATGTTGGGTTACAAACCGATTCAGTCCATGTACCCCCCTTTAATCAAGAGTCAAAAGAATGTAACAATCTACCCACCTTTGCTCAAAAGTCAAAAGAATGTAAAAAGCTAGAAAAATTGAAATGATACATATTGAAACTATTACACTCAACGGGTAACAACTCTATCAAATGCACTAAACATTTGGTAGCGTGGCTAAGAAAACATAAGGAATTGAACGAAGAGTCAACATATTAGCACCATTGATGGTGTAGTCATGGGAGAAAATTTAATGTTGTTAACATGTGATGAGTGTCATATTTGCTTTCATTTTATAGTATAAATTGAAATAATTATCTTAATTTTTGATTTGATCCAAATTTATTTTAATTTGTAGAAAGTTAACTTTACTTTATAATTTAAGCTTTTAGATAATTTACTAGTTTTTTAATGTTAATTTACATATAAGAAGAAAAAGGATGGAAAATATTGAAAGAAGTAAATGGAAGGCTTGGTATAGCATAAAAAGAGGAAAATAAATTTAATTATGTTTTAACACTAATCATGACTTCCCACACTCTACATAGTGATTTGTTTTGTCACATTAAACGTGAAATTTCATACTTATTGTCTTAACTCTAGAGTCAATTTTTTCTATTATCTATCTCACGATAAACGTAAAATTTCATGCTTAACGTTAAAATGTTGATTTGTTATTAATGAGAAGAGACAAAGGTTTATGACCTAAAATTGAAGGATTCGGAGATTTATCATTAAGGAACATTTCTCATGTTGCAGTTAAAAGAGCTCTCATGACTTCAAGATCAAGTTTATAACTTAATCTTTTAGATAATTTACTAGCATTTTAATATTAATTTGTAGATGATAAGGAAAATGATGGAAAAGATTGAAAAAGCAAGTGAAAGGCTTGGTGTAGCATCAAAAAAGAAAAAAAAATTGTTGTTTTGGCATTGACCATGACATCCCACACTTATTGCCAACCTTCCAAAGAGTGATTCGTTTTTCCATGCTAAGCATGGAATTTCATCCTTATCACCATAGTTTTATAGTCAATTTTTACTATTTCATCCTTAGAGCCAAAATATTGATTTGTCATCAATGAGAAGAGAGAAGGGTTTATGACCTAAAATTGATGGATTAGAAGACACGTCATTAAAGAACATTTCTCAAAGTATGTGTTGTTAAAAGAGCTCTCATGACTTCAAGATCAAATTTCTTCATTTCTTCATCATTTTTTTTATGTTCCATATATATAACTAAGTTCACCCTTGTTGAGATTTGATGTAATTATACCTATTCTCATGTTCATATTCTAAGTTATTAATCTTTATTATTATTCAATATTATTGTTCTCTTCTTCCCTTAATGTTTGTTATGGTTTGACCTCCTTTAACTTTATTTTTTGAGTTTAAAGTGAATAAAAAACACTTGTGAACCTTTGAATTGAAGTAGAATAACTAATAGTGTTTGTCTCTAAGAATGAAGTAAATACTATTAATCATTCATAGATTATTGTTTTTAAAGTTGGATTATTGTTAAGTCATGCAATAATTAATAACTTAGTTAAGAACTTTAAACTCTAACTTGTAAGGATTTAAGGTTTGAATATATTTGTAAATTGAATGATAATTTATGAATTTGTAACTAAATTAAAGTTTATTGTAAGCATTTAAAAGATGGTTTAGTAAAATTAATCCCCAGCATATTTCATTATTGTTTTAAAATTAGTTTTTGTATTCTAAGTATTCGTAAAAATAACAAAAAGATTTTTTTATAATATTTATCTTTATTTATGCACTTTCTTTATTTTCACAATTAATAAAAAATTTCATTCTTGATAATTTAGTTTAGTACAATTAGTAATATTTGTCAAGCATTACGCAAGTTTCTTACAAGACGATACTCATACTCATTATTAAATTACTTGTGAGATTTGATATAATTGCGAATTTATTTCCATAGCATAGCATAGCCCATAATCCAATAAACACCACAAACCTTGTCATTTTTATTCTGTAATACACCAACACAAATTAGCAAAAATTGTCACCCCCCAAAAGTCCAAGATCTGAAAGTTCTACTTGTCCATATTACCTTAAGCAGCATGATGCAGCAAGCGAGTGTGTGATAACATTGGTTTTATCTCAATTTCTGTGGTGACCATTGGATCCAAAGACCTCCCGTTCAGAAAATTTGAGTACCATTGAGCAGAAAGTTTAGGTTGTCTCCTCAAACTTGGATCATTCATATCTACGTGATATAGGCCAAAAGTTGATTCATATCCGCTCAGTAACTCGAATGAATCCAATAAGGACCATACAAAATAACCTTTTACATGTGATCCACTCCTTTATATGTGTCATAAATATAGCAAAAGATATGAAGGATTAGAAAATAAAGGAATGAGAAAAAAGAGAAAAACAAAAGAATCAATTGACAAAAAGTGAAGAAGTGTCATGTTAAGATATCATAGTACCTCAATGCATCAAGCATGCTCCCAACATATGCATGCAAGTACTTCACCCTTGGCCAGTCCTCTAATGATGAATTTTGAGGTGTTTTTTGCCCTGTAAAGTTCAAAGACTTACTATACAACTGTATAATAGAAGGTTGAATTGAAATGATGATTCTAGGGAGATGCATAGATCATGTAATTTAAAGGGAGGCAAGGGGCTAAGAGCCATACCATTTTCGTGTATGAAAATTGGAATATTTCCATAAGAATTCTCCAACAAGTCTAACACCGCTTGCAAACTCCATGTTGTAATTGGGATCTAAACCATCCAGCAGGTTAGTTGAAAGCATTGAAGCTCCAACACCAAAAAATGAAAGAAAAGAAGAACAACATGTTCTTAGAGCATATTTGGATACAATCTTAAAAGTACTTTTGAGAACATCTCTATTGGAAATAAGTTTTGTTTTTAGTAAAAAAGCTCTCAAAAAACATTTTTAAGTTTGTATTCAAACAAACTCTTACTTTGCTCTTACCTCGGTATATGTATCATTTAGAGGGAAGCCTATAAACAGAATGAACATTAATTAGCTGTCTCAGATCCTCAAAATTGAAGGAAGGTGGATGACACCAAAGACTGATATCACCAATTAGAGTTTAGCAACTAATCAAGTCTTCAGCAATGACAGGATACCATTGTAAAATTAAGACAGGATTTGGTAACATAGGGTGACATGGATTAGAGGAAGATGTGAACACATAATGGCAAGAAATTAAAACAGAGTATTAGCACGTGTCAGCAAGGGCAAGAAACATTGATTGTCAAAATCAGATGTGGTGTCTCCAAGAACTAGAAAATTTACATAAAACTAAAAATCATAATTTCATGATCCTAAGAAAAGGACACAAAAACCGCAAATGTTAAGTCATGATCTCATCAAGTACAAGAAGTATCTAAGAATCATAAGCTGAGGGGAAAAGATATCACAGAATAAAGAGAAATTTATATGAGTAACTTGTTAACGCTCAATATAAAATTGGTTATGTAATAAAAACCATAGGAAATGTCTTATAACATACTTAGAAGTTCTGCCGCCATATCTGTCGAGAAACTCGCATCCTCCATCCCCAGGCTGCCAGGACTGTTCTTAACATAATGTGTGTAGTAAAAATTTATTCCTACGAAGTCAATTGAGCCCTTGACAAGATTTGAATCCTTTTGAGTGAAGGAAGGAAGCCTCCAGCCAGCATTCTTTTTCATTATATCCGGGTAATCTCCAAAAGTAAAAGGATTTAGAAACCTACAAAGAAAATCACAAAACAAGAGCAGTAATTAATTTATAAATCATAATTCAAAGATAACTCCGTTTATTTGACTGAATGAATAGTGTTTGATTCTTATGACAATATCCTGTACTGGAGCAGAATTAGAGCTATAATATCATTCTCCAACTTTCATCAATATGGTATTGGTTAAAACATCAAGTATAAAGAATTTGATCATTATCAACACACCAATCTATTTATAATATAAAAGCTGGGTTACACTCTATTACGTTGACATGTGATTCTAAAACTAATTTTATATGTAGTCATGTTAGCATATTTGTCTGTAATAAATTTTCTAAGTTTCTATCTTCTATCATATTTTTCTTTTACCTTCTATATATTATATCTCTCCACATTCTATTTAATCTAATTCTCATTTTTCTATTGTTTAATTTTTATATCACTACAATCATCATCATCAAAAAAGGTACTACTTTTTTCTCTTTCTCCTCTACTCTTTATATTACACATTTACGTTCTATCTAATTCATCTCTCATTCTCTTTGTTTAATTTTCATCTTATATGCCAATCTTTATCAGAAATGAAAAATACTACTTTTTCTTCCTTTTTTTTCTCCTCTACCCTCTATATTACATATTTACATTTTATCTCATTTATCTCATATTATCTTTGTTTAATTTTCATCTTACATGACAATTTTTGTCGGAAATACAAGGTACAATGTTTTTCACCTTTTTTTTTTACTATTTGCAATTTATCATACATAATATGAGATTTGATACACAGTCTTACGGAAGAGGAAGAATCATAAATTAAATATTTTAAAATTGTGGATCATCACTTGTATGTTCATTGTCAATGACTTAATATAATTTATTTATTTATTTTATTTTTATTAAAAATTAAAAGTGACAATGATATATTATTTATATAGCACTTTCTATAATATTATTTTTATTATCCTTCTATATCAAATCATTCAATATTTTTGTGAATTTTATTTTTTTATTTTTTTATTTTTCTTCTATTTACTTCTCATGTCTCTCACTTTTTTCTCTTCAAGGGATAATACATTTTAAATTTCTTAACTAAATAAATCAACTTAGTTTTATTTTCCTTCTATATTATTACCAATGAATATTAATAATTGTAATAAAGTATAAAATATAGTCACAATTTGTATTCAGTAACAAATAAAATAAAATATAAAAAAATATGCAATTATTATTAATTATGAGCAACATAATTTTTTTTGTCGTCAAAACTATAATGTATAATGATTTAAAATTACCTTATATATAAATTAATGATTTTATTAATTAATAGATTAAATTTTGTTACATTTTCAGCTGCAAATAATTTAATATTAATTATAAATAACAATGAAGTAATATTAATTAATATTAGTTATAGATTAAAATATTCGATCATTAATTTACTATTTAAGAAATTTAATTTAATTAGATGATTCATTTAAAAATAAAATAAAATATTATAGTAATTAATATTAATATTAGTGTTAATTATAAATCATCATTAAAAAAATTGCTTTTGTTGAAACCTAATAATTATAAATTAAAATACTATAATATTGTTATAATTAATATAGAGTAACTGATACTTTTAACTTATTATTGATTGACATTTATGTTCATTAATCAGAAAAATAATAATTTTTTTATTAATATTAATTTTAAATAACAATAAAGAATATTTTTTAGAAACAATATTCTCTTAAAAATTAAATTTGTATATAAGGAGTTACATATTTGAAAATAAT